CGCGTCCACGTCCGCGTCCACGTCCACGTCCACGACCACGTCCACGTCCACGTCCATGTCCACGTTCACGTCCACGTCCACGACCACGTCCACGTCCACGTCCACGACCACGTCCACGTCCACGTTTACGTCCACGTCGACGTCCACGTCCACATCCACGTCCACGTCCACGTCCACGTCCACGACCACATCCACGTCCACGTCCACGTCCACGACCACGTCCACGTCAAGGTCCACGTCCACGTCCACGACCACGTCCACATCCAGGTCCACGTCCACGTCCACGACCACGTCCACGTCCACGTCCACGACCATTACCACGTCCAGGTCCACGTCCACGTCCACGACCATGTCCACGTCCACGACCATGTCGACGTCCATGTCCACGACCACGTCCACGTCCACGTCCACGTTCATGTCCACGTCCACGACCATGTCCACGTCCACGTCCACGGCCACGTCCACGTCCACGTCCACGTCCACGTCCACGTCCACGTCCACGACCACGTCCACGTCCACGTCCATGTCCACGTCCATGTCCACGTCCACGTCCACGTCCACGTCCAAGTCCACGTCGTGGACGACCACGTCTACGTCCACGACCACGTCCACGTCGTGGACGACCACGTCTATGTCCATGTTCAGGTCCACGTCCACATCCACGTCCACGTCCACGTCCACGTCCATGTCCATGTCCACGTCCACGTCCACGTCCACGTCCACGTCTACGACCACGTCCACGTCCACGTCCACGACCACGACCACGACCACGTCCATGTCCACGTCCACGTCCACGACCACGTCCACGTCCACGACCACGTCCACGTCCACGTCCACGACCACGTCCACGTCCACGTCCACGTCCACGTCGACGTCCACGTCCACGTCGATGTCCACGTCCACGTCCACGTCCACGTTCACGTCCACGTCCACGTCCACGTCCACGTCCACGACCACGTCCACGTCCACGACCACGTCGACGTCCACGTCCACGTCCACCACCACGTCAATGTCCACGTCCACGTCCACCTCCACGTCCACCACCACGTCGACGTCCACGTCCACGTCCATGTCCATGTCCACGTCCAAGTCCTCCACGTCCATGACCACGTCCACGTCCACGTCCACGTCCACGTACGTCCACGTCCAGGTCCACGTCCACGTACGTCCACGTCCAGGTCCACGTCCACGTCCACGTCCACGTCCACGTACGTCCACGTGTACGTCCACGTCCACGTCCACGTACGTCCACGTGTACGTCCACGTCCACGTCCACGTACGTCCACGTCCACGTCCACGTCCACGTACGTCCACGTCCGCGTCCACGTCCACGTACGTCCGCGTCCACGTCCACGTCCGCGTCCGCGTCCACGTCCACGTCCGCGTCCACGTCTATGTCCACGTCCAAGTCCTCCACGTCCACGTCCGCGTCCACGTCCGCGTCCACGTCCACATTCACGTCCACGTCCACGTCCACGTCCACGTCCACGTCCATGTCCACGTTCACGTCCACGTCCACGACCACGTCCACGTCCACGTCCACGTCCACGTCCACGTCCATGACCACGTCCACGTCAAGGTCCACGTCCACGTCCACGTCCACGTCCACGACCACGTCCACGTCCACGTCCACGTCCACGACCACGTCCACGTCCACGACCACGTCCACGTCTACGTTTACGTCCACGTCCACGTCCACGTCCATGTCCACGACCACGTTCACGTCCACGTCCACGTCCACGTCCACGTCCATCTCCATGTCCACGTCTACGTCCACGTCCACGTCCACGTCCACGTCCATCTCCACGTCCATGTCCACGTCCACGTCCAGGCTCACGTCCACGTCCAGGCCCACGTCCACGTCCACGTCCACGTCCATGTTGACGTTGACGTCCACGTCCAGGTCCACGTCCACGACCACGTCCACGTCCACCTCCACGTCCCAAGTCCACGTCCACGTCCACGACCACGTCCACGTCCACGTCCACGTCCACCTCCACGTCCACGTCCACGACCACGTCCACGTCCACGTTTACGTCCACGTCCACGTCCACGTCCACGTCCACGTCCACGACCACGTCCACGTCGACGTTTACGTCCACGACCACGTCCACGTCCACGACCACGTCCACGACCACGTCCACGACCACGACCACGTCCACGTCCACGTCCATGTCTACGTCCACGTCCATGTCTACGACCACATCCACGTCTACGTCCACGTCCACGTCCACGACCACGTCCACGTCCACGTCCACGTCCAGGTCCACGTCCATGTCCACGACCACGTCCACGTCCACGTCCACGTCCACTCCACGACCACGTCCACGTCCACGTCCACCTCCAGGTCCACGTCCACGTCCACGACCACGTCCATGTCCACGTCCATGTCCACGACCACGTCCACGTCCACGTCCACGTCCCGTCCACGTCCACGTCCACGTCCACGTCCACGTCCATGTCCACGTCCACGTCCACGTCCACGTCCACGTCCACGTCCATGTCCTCCACGTCCACGACCACATCCACGTCCATGTCCACGTCCACGTCCATGTCCATGTCCACGTCCACGTCCACGTCCACGTCCACGTCCATGTCCACGTCCATGCCCACGTCCACCTCCACGTCCACGTCCATGTGCACGTCCACCTCCACGTCCACGTCCAAGTCCACGTCGTGGACGACCACGTCCACATCCACGACCACGTCCACGTCCACGTCCACGTCCACGACCACGTCCACGTCCACGACCACGTCCACGACCACGTCCACGTCCACGTCCACGTCCACGACCACGACCACGTCCACGTCCACAACCACGTCCCCGTCCACGTCCACGTCTACGACCACGTCCACGTCCACGACCACGACCGCGTCCACGTCCACGTCCACGTCCGCGTCCACGTCCGCGTCCACGTCCGCGTCCACGTCCGCGTCCACGTCCGCGTCCACGTCCGCGTCCACGTCCGCGTCCACGTCCGCGTCCACGTCCACGTCCGCGTCCACGTCCACGTCCATGTCCGCGTCCACGTCCGCGTCCGCGCCCACGTCCAGGTCCGCGTCCACGTCCGCGTCCGCGCCCACGTCCACGTCCACGTCCGCGTCCGCGTCCGCGTCCACGTCCACGTCCATGTCCACGTCCACGTCCACGTCCACGTCCAGATCCACGTCCAGGTCCAGGTCCGCGTCCGCGTCCGCGTCCACGTCCGCGTCCAGGTCCACGTCCGCGTCCGCGTCCACGTCCGCGTCCGCGTCCACGTCCGCGTCCACGTCCACGTCCATGTCCACGTCCACGTCCACGTTTACGTCCACGTCCACGTCCACGTCCACGTCCCCGTCCACGTCCACGTCCACGTCCACGTCCCCGTCCACGTCCACGACCACGTCCACGTCCACGTCCGACCACGTCCACGACCGCGTCTACGTCCACCCACGACCACGTCCACGTCCACGTCCACATCCACCCACGTCCTCGTCCACGTCCACGTCCACGTCCATGTCCATGTCCACGTCCACGACCACGTCCACGTCGACGTCCACGTCCACGTCCACGTCCACGACCATGTCCACATCCACGTCCACTTCCACGTCCACGTCCACGTCCACGTCCACGTTCACGTACACGTCCACGTCCACGTCCACGTCCGACCACGTCCACGACCGCGTCCACGTCCACCCACGACCACGTCCACGTCCACGTCCACATCCACCCACGACCACGTCCACGTACACGTCCACGTTCACGTCCACGTCCACGTCCACGTCCACGTCCGACCACGTCCACGACCGCGTCCACGTCCACCCACGACCACGTCCACGACCACGTCCACGTCCACGTCCACGTCCACGTCCGCGTCCACATCCACGTCCATGTCCACGTCCACGTCCACGTTTACGTCCACGTCCACGTCCACGTCCACGACCACGTCCACGTCCACGTCCACGTCCACGACCACGTCCACGACCACGTCCACATCCACGTCCACGACCACGTCCACGACCACGACCACGTCCACGTCCACGTCCACGTCCACGTCCACGTCCGCATCCATGTCCACGTGTACGTCCGCGTACAGGTCCACGTCCACGTCCACGTCCACGTCCACGTCCAGGTCCACGTCCAGGTCCACGTCCACGTCCACGTCCACGTCCACGACCAAGTCCACGTCCACGTCCACGTCCACGACCACATCCACGTCCACGTCCACGACCACGACCACGTCCACGTCCACGTCCACGACCACGTCCACGTCCAGGTCCACGTTCACGTCCACGTCCACGTCCACGTCCACGTCCACGTCTACGTCCTCCACGTCCACGTCCTCCACGTCCACGTCCTCCACGTCAACGTCCACGTCCACGTCCACGACCACGTCCACGTCCTCCACGTCCACGACCACGACCACGTCAAGGTCCACGTCCACGGCCACGACCAGGTCCACGTCCATGTCCACGACCACATCCACGTCCACTCTACGACCATGTCCACGTCCATGTCCACGTCCACGTCCAGGTCCACGTCCATGTCCACGACCATGTCCATGTCCACGTCCATGTCCACGTCCATGTCCACGTCCACGTCCACGTCCACGTCCACGTCCACGTCCATGTCCACGTCCACGTCCACGTCCACGTCGTGGACGACCACGTCCACGTCCACGTCCACGACCACGTCCACGTCCACGTCCTCCACGTCCACGACCACGACCACGTCCAGGTCCACGTCCTCGTCCACGACCAGGTCCACGTCCATGTCCACGACCACGTCCACGTCCACTCTACGACCATGTCCACGTCCACGTCCACGTCCACGTCCAGGTCCACGTCCATGTCCACGACCATGTCCATGTCCACGTCCATGTCCACGTTCATGTCCACGTCCACGTCCACGTCCACGTCCACGTCCATGTCCACGTCCACGTCCACGTCCATGTCCTCCACGTCCACGACCACGTCCACGACCATGTCCACGTCCACGACCATGTCCACGACCATGTCCACGACCATGTCCACGACCATGTCCTCGTCCACGACCACGTCCACGACCATGTCCACGTCCACGTCCACGTCGTGGACGACCACGTCCACCTCCACGTCAACGTCCACGTCCACGTCCACCTCCACGTCCACGTCCAAGTCCACGTCGTGGACAACCACGTCCACGTCCACGACCACGTCCACGTCCACGTCCACGTCCACGACCACGTCCACGTCCACGACCACGTCCACGTCCACGTCCACGTCCGCGTCCACGTCCACGTCCAAGACCGCGTCCACGTCCACGACCACGTCCGCGTCCACGTCCGCGTCCGCGTCCACGTCCACGTCCACGACCACGTCCACGTCCACGACCACGTCCACGTCCACGTCCACGTCCGCGTCCGCGTCCGCGTCCACGTCCACGTCCACGTCGACGTCCACGTCCACGTCGACGTCCACGTCCACGACCACGTCCACGTCCACGACCACGTCCACGTCCACGTCGACGTCCACGTCCACGTCCACGTCCACGTCCACGACCACGTCCACGTCCACGTCCACGTCCTCGTCCACGTCCACGTCCACTTCCACGACCACGTCCACGTCCACGTCCACGTCCACGTCCACGTCCACGTCCGCGTCCACGTCCACGTCCATGTCCACGTCCATGTCCACGTCCACGTCCACGTCCACGTCCATGTCCACGTCCACGTCCACGTCCACGTCCATGTCCACGTCCACGTCCACGTCCATGTCCACGTCTACGTCCATGTCCAAGACCACGTCCAGGTCCATGTCCACGTCCAGGTCCACGTCCAGGTCCACGTCCACGTCCACGTCCACGTCCACGTCCATGTCCACGTCCACGTCCACGTCCACGTCCACGTCCACGACCACGACCACGTCCACGTCCACGTCCACGACCACGTCCACGTCCACGTCCACGTCCAGGTCCACGTCCACGTCCACGTCCAGGTCCATGTCCACGTCCAGGTCCACGTCCAGGTCCACGTCCACGTCCGCGTCCACGTCAACGTCCACGTCCGCGTCCACGTCAACATCCACGTCCACGTCCACGTCCACCTCCACGTCCACGACCACGTCCACGTCCACGTTTACGTCCACGTCCACGTCCACGACCACGACCACGTCCACGTCCACGTCCACGTCCACCTCCACGTCCACGACCACGTCCACGTCCACGTTTACATCCACGTCCACGACCACGACCACGTCCACGTCCACGTCCACGACCACGACCACGTCCACGTCCACGTTTACGTCCACGACCACGTCCACGTCCACGACCACGTCCACGTCCACGTCCACATCAACGACCACGTCCACGTCCACGACCACGTCCACGTCCAAGTCCTCAACGTCCACGACCATGTCCACGTCCACGTCCACGACCACGTCCACGTCCACCTCCACGTCCACGACCACGTCCACGTCCACGTTTACGTCCACGTCCACGTCCACGACCACGACCACGTCCACGTCCACGTCCACGTCCACGTCCACCTCCACGTCCACGACCACGTCCACGTCCACGTTTACATCCACGTCCACGACCACGACCACGTCCACGTCCACGTCCACGACCACGACCACGTCCACGTCCACGTTTACGTCCACGACCACGTCCACGTCCACGACCACGTCCACGTCCACGTCCACATCAACGACCACGTCCACGTCCACGACCACGTCCACGTCCAAGTCCTCAACGTCCACGACCATGTCCACGTCCACGTCCACGACCACGTCCACGTCCACGTCCTCCACGTCCATGTCCACGTCCTCCACGTCCACGTCCTCCACGTCCACGTCAACGTCTACGTCCACGTCCACGTCCACGTCCACGTCCACGTCAACGTCTACGTCCACGACCACGTCCACGTCCACGTCCACGACCACGTCCACGTCCACGTCCACGTCCACGACCAAGTCCACGTCCACGACCACGTCCACGTCCATGTCCACGTCCACGTCCACGTCCACGTCCACGTCCACGTCCACGTCCAAGTCCACGTCCACGTTCACGTCCACGTCCACGTCCACGTCCACGTCCACGTCCAAGTCCACGTCCACGTTCACGTACACGTCCACGTCCACGTCCACGTCCACTTCCATCTCCATGTCCACGTCTACGTCCACGTCCACGTCCACGTCCACGTCCATCTCCACGTCCACGTCCACGTCCAGGCCCACGTCCACGTCCATGTCCACGTCCACGTCCACGTCCATGTTCACGTCGACGTCCACGTCCACGTCCACGTCCACGACCACGTCCACGTCCACGACCACGTCCACGTCCACGTCCATGTCACGTCCACGTCCACGTCCACGTCCACGTCCACGTCCACGTCCACGTCCACGTCCACGTCCATCTCCACGTCCACGTCCACGTCCAGGCCCACGTCCACGTCCATGTCCACGTCCACGTCCACGTCCATGTTCACGTCGACGTCCACGTCCACGTCCACGTCCACGACCACGTCCACGTCCACGACCACGTCCACGTCCACGTCCATGTCACGTCCATGTCACGTCCACGTCCACGTCCACGTCCACGACCACGTCCACGTCCACGTCCATGTCACGTCCACGTCCACGTCCATGTCCACGTCCACGTCCATCTCCACGTCCACGTCCACGTCCACGACCACGTCCACGTCCACGTCCACGTCCACGTCCACGTCCACATCCACGACCACGTCCACGTCCATGTCCACGTCCACGTCCACGTCCACGTCCACGTCCATGTCCACGACCACGTCCACGACCACGTCCACGTCCACGTCCACGTCCACGTCCATGTCACGTCCACGTCCACGTCCACGTCCACGTCCACGTCCATGTCACGTCCACGTCCACGTCCACGTCCACGTCCACGTCCACGTCCACGTCCATGTCCACGACCACGTCCACGTCCAGGTCCAGGTCCAGGTCCAGGTCCACGTCCACGTCCACGTCCACGTCCACGTCCACGTCCACGTCCACGACCACGTCCACGTCCAGGTCCAGGTCCAGGTCCAGGTCCACGTCCACGACCACGTCCACGACCACGTCCACGTCCACGTCCACGTCCACGTCCACGTCCACGTCCACGTCCACGACCACGTCCACGTCCACGTCCACGACCACGACCACGTCCACGTCCACGTCCACGACCACGTCCACGTCCACGTCCATGTCCACGACCACGTCCGCGTCCACGTCCCCGTCCGCGTCCACGTCCATGTCCGCGTCCGCGTCCAGGTCCGCATCCGCGTCCGCGTCCGCGTCCACGTCCGCGTCCGCGTCCGCGTCCGCGTCCACGTCCGCGTCCACGTCCGCGTCCGCGTCCGCGTCCACGTCCACGTCCGCGTCCACGTCCACGTCCGCGTCCACGTCCGCGTCCCCGTCCAGGTCCACGTTCACGTCCACGTCCACGTCCACGTCCACGTCCACGTTCACGTCTACGACCATGTCCACGTCCACGTCCGTCCACGTCCACGACCACGTCCACGTCCACCCACGACCACGTCCACGACCACGTCCACGTCCACCCACGACCACGTCCACATCCACATTCACGTCCACGTCCACGTCCACGTCCACGTCCACGACCACGTCCATGTCCACGTCCACGTCCACGTCCACGACCACGTCCACGACCACGTCCACGTCCACCCACGACCACGTCCACGTCCACATTCACGTCCACGTCCACGTCCACGTCCACGTCCACGTCCACGTCCACGACCACGTCCATGTCCACGTCCACGTCCACGTCCACGACCACGTCCACGACCACGTCCACGTCCACGTCCACTTCCACGTCCACGTCCACGTCCACGTCCACGTCCACGTTCACGTCCACGTCCACGTCCACGTCCACGTCCACGTCCACGACCACGTCCACGTCCACGTCCACGTCCACCTCCACGTCCACGATCACGTCCACGTCCACGTCCACGTCCACGTCCACCACCACGTCCACGTCCACGTCCACGTCCACCTCCACGTCCACGACCACGTCCACGTCCACGTTTACATCCACGTCCACGTCCACGTCCACGTCCACGACCACGTCCACGTCCACATTTACGTCCACGACCACGTCCACGTCCACGACCACGTCCACGACCACGTCCACGACCACGACCACGTCCACGTCCACGTCCGCGTCTACGTCCGCGTCCACGTCCGCGTCCACGTCCGCGTCCACGTCTGCGTCCATGTCCGCGTCTACGTCCGCGTCCATGTCCACGTCGACGTCCGCGTACAGGTCCACGTCGACGTCCGCGTACAGGTCCACGTCCACGTCCACGTCCACGTCCACGTTCAAGACCAGGTCCACGTCCACGTCCACGTCCAGGTCCACGTCCACGTCTACGTCCACGTCCACGACCACGTCCACGTCCACGTCCATGTCCACGTCCACGTCCACGACCACGACCACGTCCATGTCCACGTCCACGTCCACGACCACGTCCACGTCCATGTCCACGTCCACGTCCACGACCACGTCCACGTCCAGGTCCACGTTCACGTCCACGTCCACGACCATGTCCACGTCCACGTCCACCTCCACGTCCACGTCCACGTCCTCCACGTCAACGTCCACGTCCACGTCCACGACCACGTCCACGTCCTCCACGTCCACGACCACAACCACGTCCAGGTCCACGACCAGGTCCACGACCATGTCCACGTCCACGTCCACGACCACGTCCACGTCCACGTCCACGACCACGTCCACGTCCACGTCCACGACCATGTCGACGTCCACGACCATGTCGACGTCCATGTCCACGTCCACGTCCACGTCCACGTCCACGACCACGTCCACGTCCACGTCCACGTCCACGTCCACGACCACGTCCACGTCCACGTCCACGTCCATGTCCATGTCCACGTCCACGTCCACGTCCACGTCCACGTCCACGTCCACGTCCACGTCCACGTCCACGTCCACGTCCAAGTCCACGTCCACGTCCACGTCCACGTCCACGTCCAAGTCCTCCACGTCCACGTCCACGTCCACGTCCAAGTCCTCCACGTCCACGTCCACGTCCACGTCCACGTCCACGTAAACGTCCACGTCCACGTCCACGTCCATGTCCACGTCCACGTCCACGACCACGTCCACGTCCACGACCACGTCCACGTCCACGACCACGACCACGTCCACGTCCACGACCACGACCACGTCCACGTCCACGACCACGACCACGTCCAGGTCCACGTCCACGTCCACGACCAGGTCCACGTCCACTCCACGACCACGTCCACGTCCACTCCACGACCACGTCCACGTCCACGTCCACGTCCACGTCCACGTCCACGTCCACGTCCATGTCAACGTCCACGTCCACGTCCACGTCCACGTCCATGTCCACGTCCACGTCCACGTCCACGTCCATGTCCTCCATGTCCACGACCACGTCCACGTCCATATCCACGTCCATGTCCACGTCCTGGACGACCACGTCCACGTTCACGTCCACGTCCACGTCCATGTCCACGTCCATGTCCACGTCTACCTCCACGTCCACGTCCAAGTCCACGTCCGTGTCCACGTCCACGTCCACGTCCACGTCCACGTCCCTGTCCACGTCCACATCCACGTCCACGTCCACGTCCACGTCCACGTCCACGACCACGTCCGTGTCCACGTCCACGTCCACGTCCACGACCACGTCCACGTCGACGTCCACGTCCACGTCCACGACCACGACCACGTCCAGGTCCACGTCCACGTCCACGACCACGTCCACGTCCACGTCCACGTCCACGTCCACGTTCACGTCCACGTCCACGTCCACGTCCACGTCCACGTCCACGACCACGTCCACGTCAAGGTCCACGTCCACGTCCACGACCACGTCCACGTCCACGTCCATGTCCACGACCACGTCCACGTCCACGTTTACGTCCACGTCCACGTCCACGTCCACGTCCACGACCACGTCCACGTCCACGTCCACGTCCACGACCACGTCCACGTCCAGGTCCACGTTCACGTCCACGTCCACGACCACGTCCACGTCCATGACCACGTCCACGTCCACGTCCACGTCCAGGTCCACGTCCACGTCCACGACCACGTCCACGTCCACGTCCACGTCCACGTCCACGACCACGTCCACGTCCACGTCCACGTCCACGACCACGTCCACGTCCACGTCCACGTCCACGTCCACAGCCACGTCCACGTCCACGTCCACGTCCACTTCCACGACCACGTCCACGTCCACGTCCACGACCACGTCCACGTCCACGTCCACGACCACGTCCACGTCCACGTTTACGTCCACGACCACGTCCACGTCCACGACCACGACCACGTCCACGTCCACGACCACGTCCACGTCCACGTCCATGTCCACGTCCAAGTCCTCCACGTCCACGTCCACGTCCACGTCCACGTCCACGTCCTCCACGTCCACGTCCACGTCCACGACCACGTCCACGTCCACGTCCACGTCCACGTCCACGACCACGTCCACGTCCACGTCCACGTCCACGTCCACGTCCACGACCACAACCACGTCCACGTCCACGTCCACGTCCACGACCACGTCCACGTCCACGACCACGTCCACGTCCACGACCACGACCACGTCCACGTCCACGTTTACGTCCACGACCACGTCCACGTCCACGACCACGTCCACGACCACGTCCACGTCCACGTCCATGTCCACGTCCAAGTCCTCCACGTCCACGTCCACGTCCACGTTTACGTCCTCCACGTCCACGTCCACGTCCTCCACGTCCACGTCCTCCACGTCCACGTCCACGTCCACGTCCACGATCACGTCCACGTCCACGTCCACGACCATTACCTCGTCCAGGTCCACGTCCACGTCCACGACCATGTCCACGTCCACGACCATGTCGACGTCCATGTCCACGACCACGTCTACGTCCACGTCCACGACCACATCCACGTCCACGTCCCGCCCATGTCCACGTCCAAGTCCTCCACGTCCACGTCCACGTCCACGTCCAAGTCTTCCACGTCCACGTCCACGTCCACGTCCACGTCCACGTAAACGTCCACGTCCACGTCCATGTCCACGTCCACGTCCACGACCACGTCCACGTCCACGTCCACGACCACGTCCACGTCCACGACCACGACCACGTCCACGTCCACGACCACGACCACGTCCACGTCCACGACCACGACCACGTCCAGGTCCACGTCCACGTCCACGACCAGGTCCACGTCCACTCCACGACCACGTCCACGTCCACTCCACGACCACGTCCACGTCCACGTCCACGTCCACGTCCACGTCCACGTCCATGTCCACGTCCACGTCCACGTCCACGTCCACGTCCACGTGCACGTCCACGTCCATGTCCACGTCCACGTCCACGTCCACGTCCATGTCCTCCATGTCCACGACCACGTCCACGTCCATATCCACGTCCATGTCCACGTCCTGGAGGACCACGTCCACGTTCACGTCCACGTCCACGTCCATGTCCACGTCCATGTCCACGTCTACCTCCACGTCCACGTCCAAGTCCACGTCGTGGACGACCACGTCCACGTCCACAACCACGTCCACGTCCAAGTCCACGTCCGTGTCCACGTCCACGTCCACGTCCACGTCCACGTCCACGTCCACGACCACGTCCGTGTCCACGTCCACGTCCACGTCCACGACCTCGTCCACGTCCACGTCCACGTCCACGTCCACGACCACGACCACGTCCATGTCCACGTCCACGTCCACGACCACGTCCACGTCCACGTCCACGT